TGTCAAGGGTGTTTTCCCAGGAGAATTTGATGTAAATCTAGATCCATGCCTGGGACATTTTGGAGATATTTGTGGAACATATGTAGCATGTGAAGTTACTTTTCAAAAAAATATATATACTAACTTGCTAGAACAACTATTCAGGTTATCAATTCTTTGCAGTTCCCTAACAGGTTTACACATGGAAAACTTTATCTAAGGAACACAGTAAGAGAAATGTATGAAACAGATTACCTCAGTTGTCATAGGTATAAAAGTGGTAATATTTTTACCGCCTTTTCATATTGCATTTAGCATACATAACAGCTCACCTGATAATTTTCCAAAAATCCAGCATCAATCATCTAATTGTTGTCATTTGAAATGCATGCACAAAGTATTTCTATTTTAAATTAACTTCTTAACATAAAAAAAAAATCTGAACTCAATGCAACACTTGGCAAACATACCTTATCCATGTTAAGTAGAGGAAACATCTCTTGGATTTTTTCAGGTCCAATAATGTACTGCTCCGTCGCATGCCAGTGGGTGCGTGTCATTTGGTATTTAAATTCATCTACCCTTACAGGAGTTGTAGCAATTCTGATACTTCCTGGCTGATGGAATCCTACCACCTATGACAACAAGCCCAGGGAAAGAACATACACTGATTATTATTTGGCACACACACACACAGATCTCCAGTACACACACACAAAAATGCAGATGAGTAAAAGCAGTAATTTACTGTGAAGAAAAAGAGTTGGCTGCATAAAATATTTACATCTTCTGAAAAGACATTCAGGGCAGCTACTCACCTGGTGCCTCCTCTGTACCCAGCACCATTCTGAGCCCCAAAGACCCCACCTTGGTGAACTTGACCACCTATAGCTGAAAACAGGAATGCAAAATGCATGGCAATAACTCAGAGTAAACTTAACGTGCAGGCTGAAATGATGATGCTAAAGCTGAGGTAAGTCAAACAGCCAAGCATCCATTTGAAGTCCTCCAGTTGGCCATGCCTCAGCGAGGCCCTGGTTACAGAGATAAAATAAGTTGTCCTTGCCTTCAAGCTGTCATGATATGTTGGGGAAAACAGCTAGGGATGCCACAATTATGGTAGAGATTGGTATTATACACATAGTACACACAAACACTTTTAGGACAAGCATGTGACACTGGGCTTGGGAAAGGTGAGAGCAATGCTGTTTCAGGCAGAAGAGGCAACAGAAAATCATGTAGATAAATACACATTAAAGCACAAGTAGAAATGGACTGGGGGAGCCAGAACACTGCAGACCTGTGGATGGCTGCAGACACATCATGGGGAGAGCTAGAGGGGGTGGTGGAGAGGTGGGCAGGTCAGTGGGCGGAGACCAGGCTGCTGAAGCCACAGCAGGCGCTGGGCCCCCTCCTGCAGGGGCAGGGGCAGCTGATGGCTCTGGGGAAGAAAGATGAGAATAGAAGCAGCCTCAGTCCGGGTGTAATGGAGCATGTCTGTAATGCCAGCAATGGGAAGGCTGGAAACAGGAGGATCACCACAAGTCTGAGCTGTGTAGTGAGACCTGTATCAAATACAGAAGTGGAAAAAAAGACTATAAGCAGCCTCCACCTTAGCCTGTGGGTCTCTCTGTTGCTTGTGTGTTCTGAGGACACAAGAGCTAAATGTAAGAGTGAGCATTTTCCTGAAGCATTCCTCAAAGCCTGTGAGAGGCTGGCACACACCATTGTCAGAGCTTGCTGGACTAGAAGGCTCTTTTTTTTTTTTAATTTCTAGATTTAACCACTATCTAAAGATAATGGAAACTGTTGGAAGCTGTTTTTTATTCTTGCTTCATCTAAAAAAATAAAAATGGCTTGTTGAAAGGATGATACAGGTCAAGACATTAAGTTAGTTTAAAAACAAATGGCAGATGCTCTTACTGTGACCCCGGCCCTGTTTCTCTGCAATATTAGCAGTGTCACTGCGTGTGACACTACACGTAATATTTCAGATGCTGCAGAAACCTTGCCAGTTCTGAGGGACCGACCTTCCAGACAAGTGCGAGAGTGATGCATTTACCTGCCCAGTTTCTTCCTCCAGTTTCTCATAAAGTTTGATGCTGTCATAGTGTATTTTCTTCAAGTTTATTCCAGGATGAAAGTAAGTTGTTAAACCTGCCTTAAAAGTGGAGAGAAAAAGAAATTCTGAAAAAAAAAATCTTGAAATGTTGTTAGTACTTATGGGCAATAAGCAATGAT